CACCTGCTCTCCCGCCCCGTCCGCCCCCCGCACCTGCTCTCCCCGCGTGCGTCCCCGCACCTGCGCTTGTCCACCAGACGCTCTGCTTGCCGTCCTGCGGAGGCTCCCAGCTCCACACGCCTGAAGGAAGCCGTTTTCCCTCTGGGCACGTCTGTGCCTTCCGCGTGGTCAGGGTGCAGCCATGTGCACCCCCCATGGGCACCTCGGGGTGCAGCCGTGTGCACCCCCCCAGTGAGCAGCACTCTCTCAGCTCCTCACCTCAGTCTCCCATGTCCCCACACCCCGCTGTCACACGGGTGACCTAGGGGCTCTCGGTGCCCCTCCCAGCCCACCGTCACCCAGAGCTGACCCGCTCCCTGGGCTGCTGCGGGTTTTACGCCGCTGAGCAGCCTCCTGGAAGGGATGAAAGCTGGGTGTGGAAGCGCTTACCTCCAAGGGGCACACGAATGCCACGGGGCTTCATGTGGTAAGAGCAGGGCATAGACACCTGAGGTAGAGACACAGAGACAGACAGAGACAGAGAGACAGACATATCAGGGAGACAGAGAGACTGAGAAACAGAGTCGGAGCCAGAAGAGAAACCGAAACAGAGTCAGAGAGACAGAGACAGAAAGTCAAAGACAGAGACTGACAGAGAGAGATAGAGACAGACAGTGTCAGAGAGACAGATAGATAGGGAGACATAGAGACAGACAGACAGACACAGAGAAACAGAGACAGAGACAAAGAGAGACAGAGATAGAGAGACATAGAGACAGAGAGAAATAGACAGAGAGACAGCAAAACAGAAACAGAAATAGAGACAGAGACAAAGAAGACAGAAAAATAGAGACAGAGACCTAGATATAGAGAGACAGAGACAGAGAGACAAATACAGACAGAGACCTAGAGAGAGACACAGATGCAGAGAGGGAGAGCCGGCCTCGCTGCGGACACGTTACCTGGTCTGCCGAGCACCGTCCCCACGTGGTCGCTGGGTCGGCCTCGTCGGCAGAGACACTTGTCACCGAAACGGGCCCTGAGCCGGTCTGCGCAGGGGTCTGGGGCCTCACGGTCTGTTCGGGGACCCCTCCTCCGGGTGTCCGGGGCTCCCTGGGGCCGCCCACCCGGGGGGCAAGGCGGCCTCCCTCAGGCCCGGGGCTGAGCCGAGCCGAGCCTGTAGCCCCCTTTCCCGCGGAGACGCAGCCGGAGGGCTGGGCGCTGTCCCCAGGCCGCCATCCCCAGGGTCGCCCGCGCGGGCTCCCGGGTCCTCGGCGCCGTGCAAGCCCGGCAGCCCCCCTGCAGGCAGCATGCTGCGGAGGGTGAAGGGCCGCGGTGGGACCTGGGTGCGGGGCTGGGAGGGGAGAAGCCGCGCCGCGCGTCACTGTCACACCAGGGCCGGTGGATGCGGGTGCGCGAGTGGCTGGGGACAGCGGTGGGGGGGGGGACCCTGGTGGGAGGCCGCCGAGAGCTGAGGTTTGTCCTGGGGGAGCAGCGGGGATGGGGACCCCCTGCCAGGCCCCCCGAAACGCCCTCCCCCCAGAGCCGGGCTCCGCTGCCCCGCTCCCAGCTTCGCGGCCTGGCCCAGCTGACACCCTGTCCCCAGCTCCCCAGGCCGGCCTTGCGCCCCGGCTAGACTGGGAGCACCTGCGCGTCCCGTGCCCGAGCCGTCCGCGTCCTGCCGCGGCACCCGGGGAAACGGCGGCCCGTGGCCGTGTGGCTCGTGGAGGTTTCCGCACAGGCAGCGCAGAGGGGGGTCGGGGCCTGGGAAGCCCTCTCGTCTCCGTGTGTCTTGATTCTCCCACCGGCGGGCGAGGAGCCCGCTGTGCAGCACGGCCAGGCGCGGGGGCACAGCTCAGCTTCGTAACGACGCTGGGCAACTGTGGCTTCTCCATAAATCATCTCCCCACGTGGCGTGTTTCTTCCAAGCAAACCAACACGTGATTTCAGTGCGGAAACTCTACCTTATTAACTGCTACGGTTCACGCAGACAGAAGCGCCGGGGTAAGAGCCGTAGTGCTGTCCTGCTGTTGCCTGGAGGGGCGGGGTGGACCGGGGTGGGGCGTGGGGGGACGTGGGGGGGCGTGGGGGACGTGGAGGGGCGTGGGGGCATGGGGGGACTTGGAGGGACGTGGAGGGGCGTCGGGGCATAGGGGGGACGTGGAGAGACGTGGGGGAACGTAGAGGGGCGTGGGTGGACGTGGCGGGGCTGGAGGGATGTAGGTGACATTGGTGGCACCTGCCGTATCAAACGGCTGGATTCAAGTCCGTGCTGTCCAGTGGAATGCTGGGTCTCCAGGAGCCATTTCAGGGAGCAGCACTGGGTTCCTCGTCACTGTCAGGTGCAGAGTCGGCGCCCGCACGGAAGAGGCGTCTGCCCTGCGGAGAGTGCGCTCGGCCTGTGCTGCCTCCCCCCACCCCGCCCCTTCCTGACGATCGCTAGGTTCTCTCCCCGCAGGTAAAAATAGCCAAAATAGCCAAGTGGATGAAAACCCTGCAGAGATCCGGCCGGAGTTGAGACGTCCGGACCTGAGCAGGGCCCTCGTGTTTCCCTGTTTCACTCCAGGCCAGAGCTCTGTTCAAGTACCGTGGAAAGTTCAGTAACTTGGAAAGAAAATTTTCCTACAGCAAACAGATTTTTATTTTAGAAGGATCCATTTACACTAGAGTTGGCATTTGGGTCCTGCTCTGTACCTGCGATGTCGTTGGCCACGCTGGTAGTTACGGAAAGAGAGAAGTGCGCCCACGTAGCTCAGGGAAACATCTGTGTGGCCTTTGGGTGCAGACTGGTCTGGCCGGAAGCAGCCCCGTCGGACTCCCGCCCTGGGCTTGAGGGCTTCTGTCCTGCGCGCTGGGGCCCTTGGATCTGCCAGCAGCGTGGCCTCTGGGTCTGCTCTTGGTTGGGAAACGCCGTATTGTTTGCGGCCCCCGCGGTCAGCTGTGGCCTGTGTTAGCCAGTCCTCGAGAAGCTGCCTTCCGTTGTTTCGTCCCCACCCTAATCAGCCCTCTTATTTCCTCCACTGGGTGCAAGAGACTATATACGTGTCCAAATTTTTATTTTTTACAGACCTCAATGACTCGAGTTAACATTTGCTCACCCAGCTGCAGCCGTGTTTACTGTAATCCCGGGAATAGAATTCCACTCTTCAAATCCCTCATCAGAGAACCGTGTAACCCGGTCTGGTGTGGGTTCACCTGCCAGAACCCAGGACACAGTTTGCTCCTCCGCTGGGTGACATCAGTGGACAGAACACCTCGCAGGCGCGTCCTCAACCGAGCTTTAGGTGTTTGCTATCGGGGTCGTGACAGTACGAGTAAACTTGCTTTCTTATCATCTTAAAACCAGTTTTTGAGATTGCATTCGCTATTTTACAACCCGTGGCAGGGAAATTTCCAGCGCGCCTCTCTGATGAGCACTGTGTTTGCAGTGATCAGTACTTATCATTCTAACAGTGTCTCAGAATTCCATTTCTGTTTTGGCTCTAATTTTGACTGATTGGATTTGGTTGAAAATATCATTTGAAATGCAAGTACTTTGCCAAAGAAAGGCCCGAATCTACTCCTTCCCTCTCCTTACCCTAGTCAGAGTCACCTGCGAGTGGGTAAATTGTTTTAAGTAACAGGCAATAGTCACTCAACAACTCTGCCGGCAGTAGTAATGATTTATTCTTCAGGGTTTCCAAAGATGACACTGGTTTTATGACTCAGGTTAAATTATATACACATTTGATAGAGCACTAGTGTAGACATTCCCCCTCCGTCCCGAAGAGCCTCCGAGTGAAAGCAGGTTCAAGGTTGGTCAGGTCTCTGTGGGTCTCGCGTGGCCCTGCACGACCAGACATGACATTCTCCCCACTTCTCCGAGGCAGCACCATTTCTGGTTCCTGTTGGGAGTGAGATAGTCCAGCTCCATGCCCGTAATCCGGATACCGAACTCTAACCGACAAGATTGACATAATGGGCTCTCTGAGCAAGCACCACTCCCACAGTGTGTGAGGGAGGTAGGGGAGAGGCAGGGGGAGCTCGGGGCCGGACGGGGCTGCCGTCAGCTGCGTCCCCACACCATCCTCATCCCCCGACACCTGCCACGCGACAAGAACCACACCAGGCACTGTTTTCACTTTTTAAGTTTATTTAAAAACTATTTTATTTTATTTTTTCATCATGATATGTGTGCTCTTTAATCCTCATCCCCTATTTTAGCCACCCCCACCTCCCCTCTGATGACCATCAGTGTGTTCTCTGTAGCTAAGGGTCTATTTCTTGGTTTTTCTCTCTCTATTTTTCTTTGTTTGCTTTATTTTTATTTTAAATCTCACACAGTGAAATCATATGGTATTTACGTTTCTTTGACTTAGCACTATATTCTCTAGCTCCATCCACGTTGTTGCAAATAGCAAGATTTCATTCCTTTTTATGGCCAAGTAATATTCCAGTGTGTGTGTGTGTGTGTGTGTGTGTGTGTGTGTACACACCATATCTTCTTTATCCATTCATCTGTTGGATGGACATTTGGGGTCTTTCCATAGTTTGGCTATTATAGATGGTGCTGCTATAAACATTGGGGGTACATGTATCCCTTGGAATCAGTATTTTTAGATTCTTTGAGTAAATTATGTAGTAGTGCAAATGCTGGACTGTAAGGTAGTTCTATTTTTAACTTTTTGAGGAGTCTCCACACTGTTTTCCAGAGTGGCTGCACCAGTTTGCATTCCCACCAACAGTGCAGGAGGGCGCCCATTTCTCCACATCCTCGCCAACACCTGTTGTTGCCTGAGATGTTAATGTCAGCCATTCTGACAGGTGTGAGGTGGTATCTCATTGTGGTTCTGATTTATATTTCCCTGACAATGAGTGATGTTGAGCATTTTTTTTTCATGTGTCTGTTGGCCATCTGGATCACTTCTTTAGAGCAATGTCTGTTCATGTCTTCTGCTGGTTTTTAAATTAGACTATTTGTTTTTGGGTGCTGTTTTCTAAAGCCCATATAGATTTTGGATACTAACCCTTTATGTGATATGTCATTTGCAACTACCTTTTCCCATTCCATTGGTTGTCTTTTAGTTTTGTTGATTGTTTTCTTAGTTGTACAAAAGCTTTTCATTTAGATATAGTCCCAGTAGTTCATTTTTGCTTTTGCTTCCCTTGCCTTAGGAGACATGTCTAGTAAAAAGTAGCTATGGCCAATGTCAAAGATGTTTATGCCCATGTTCTCCTCTAGGATTTTGATGGTTTCCAACCTCACATTTAGGTCTTTCATCCATTTTGAGTTTAATTTTGTGTATGGTGTAAGAGAGTGGTCCAGTTTCATTCTTCTGCACATTGCTGTCTAATTTTCCCAGCACCATTTGTTGAAAAGGCTGTCTTTTTCCCATTGGATATTCTTTCTTGCTTTGTTGAAGATAAATTAATCATATAGTTGTGGGTCCATTTTTTCGTTTTCTTTTCCATTGATCTATGTGTCTGTGTTTGTGTCAGTACCATACTTGCCTTGATGATGACAGCTTTGTAACACATCCTGAAGTCTCGGATTATGATCCTCCAGCTTTGGTTTTCTTTTTCAGGATTGTTTTGGCTATTCGGGGTCTTTTAGGATTGTTTGCTCTAGTTCTGTGAAAAATGCTGTGGGTATTTTGATAGGGATTGCACAAAGGTGTAGATTGCTTCACGTAAGTACAGACATTTCAACAATGTTTGCTCTTCCAATCTGTGAGCATGAAATGTCTTTCCAGTTCTTTGCGTCATCTTGAATTTCTTTCATCAGTGTTTTATAGTTTTCAGAGTACAGGTCTTTCACCTCTCTGGTTAGGTTTATTCCTAGGTATTTTACTGTTTTTGGTGCAATTGTAAATGGGATTGTTTTCTTAACTTCTCTTTCTGCTTCTTCATTAGTCGTGTATGATGGATTTCCATATATTGATTTTGTATCCTGTGACTTTACTTAATTAATTTATCTGTCCTAGTAGTTTTTAGTGAAATCTTCAGTATTATATATATATAATACTATATATAGTATTATGTCATCTGCTAATAATAAGGATTTTACTTCTTCCTTCCTGATTTGGATGGTGTTTCTTTCTTTTTTTAAATTTTAAGATTTTTAAAAATCTTTTTTTAAAAAGTTTATTTAATTATTTATTTATTTAGAGAGAGCAAGTTGGGGAGGGGCAGAGAGAGGGAGAGAGAGAATCCCAAGCAGGCTCTACACTGTCAGCACGGAGCCCAATGGGGGGCTTGAACTCATGAACCGTGAGATCATGACCTGAACCAAAGTCTGCCACTTGATCAACTGAGCTACCCAGGCCTTTCGCTTCTTTATGTTGTCTGATTGCTGTGGCTACTATTTCCATTAAAAAATCATTTGTTCAGGAGCGCCTGGGTGGCTCAGTCGGTTAAGCCTCTGACTTTGGCTCAGGTCGTGATCTCACGGTTTGTGGGTTCAAGCCCCGCGCTGGGCTCTGTGGCGACAGCTCAGAGCCTGGAGCCTGTTTCGGATTCTGTGTCTCCCTCTCTCTCTCTGCCCCTCCCCTGCTCACGCTGTCTTTCTCTCTCAGAAATAAATTTTAAAAAACATTAAAAAATCATTTATTCATATATTATGTTTGTATTTGAAATGACAGCTATGATTATCATGCTCTTCGAAGGCAAGAACTGTACCCGACTTAGGGTTACATCCCTCAAGTGTAATTCAAACAGCACAGGCAGGTCATCAGACAGGATTTGTGCACTGAAATGTCAGACTTGGGGACTTTGCTCAGCCTGAACGACAGACACATGCGTGCTGGCGTGATTTGGGGAAGAGGCGAGCAGGAGAGGGAAGACAGGAGGGGGTGCATGAGCGGCCACCCGCTGTTGCTGCTGGAAGTCACCACTGCCCGCGGCGGTGACCATTAAGGGGCGCCAGGCCTCCACGGCTGCCTGGGCGCAGGATGAGCAAGCAGCAGGCTGTGGGGCCCCACAAGCCCAGGGAACCCGCTGAGACACAGAGAGACAGTCACTGTAAGTAGTGTTCCTGTACTGGCAGGCTGCAGAGAGATGTGCAAGCATGGCCGTCTTCCTGGATGTGCAGTGTGCAAACGTGCGGTGTGCAAACATACGGTGTGTGTGGATTCACCCATCGTCTGCTCCACACCCAGCAGCTGTCAGTCTTCGCTGGAGGGGCTGGGGGCACTGCAGTGAACAAACAGAGAAAGTCCCTTTATATTTTATAGGAAAACATGGAAGAAGTAGATGTATAACCATGTTAACAGTTGATTGTTGTCTTTTAGAGTTTAGATTATGGGTTATTGTTTCCTATGAATTTTGGTCTATTGATAACGATGTGGCTGTAAAATAAGATTTGTGACAATAGATGGACCTTGAGGGCATTACGCTGAATGAACTGAGTCAGACAAGGAAGACATACCGTATGCCTGTTACAGGTGGAATCTTCAACAACTCTGTGAGCTCTGGTGGTTGCCAGGGAAATGAGTGAAGCATCAGAAGGAAAAGGGAAAAACAAGAGGAAAGGGTGGAGGACCAAATATTCAAGACACGCGAAGTAGGCAGGAGGCACACGAGGGGCTCGGTGTTTGCGAGGTTCTAGCTGGCCCCCCGGGGCAGGGCCATGCCGGCTCCCCACAGGAGCAAGGGACACGCAGGGCCGCGCCGGGCCCCCACCCCACAAGTGTGCACCCTGGATACAGAGACGCACCACCCAGCCCCGAGCAGCGTCAGCTCCCTCCTCGCCAAGCACCCAGCAGGGGGTCGGGTGAGGCTGAGGAGGGCCAGCCCCGTGAACACCGCACCGCACAAGGTCTATGCTCCGTGCGCCTCTGAATGGTTGTTTCCCTCTGCTTCCTGCTGCGTGTCCTAAACTGATCCAATAAACTGTGTATTTTGAGCTTAATTTCGCACAGGTTTGTTCAGAACATTTCCTTATGACCTTTTAATGTCTGATAAAATTAGAATTAACGAGATCCGCGGCCCCTGGTGGGCCAGCCTGCCCCTGGAGCAGCCCCGGGGAAGGGGGGGGAGCGAGCCGAGCTGGGCTGCTAGTGCCGTCCTCTGTGTTCCTCGGGTGCTATGTCGTTGCAAGGAAAAGAAACACATGCTGTAGCTATTTTAAGAAAAATAAGATATTGAAAATAAAGATTCTGAGGCGTGTTGTGGGCATGCCGAACAGGGGCCCTGCTGAAGTCACACAGGAACCCGGCTGCTTGTCCTGAGGGCTGTGACGCAGGGACAGAGACGCTGCTGGAGGGAGACGACCCCCTCTTCTCTTCCTGCTCCACAGGGTCTCCCCCTTCTGCCTAAGAGACTCAAAGAATTATCCTGTTGGTGCGTCTGGGGGGCTCAGTCGGTTAAGTGTCCAACTTCAGCTCGGGTCATGATCTCAGGGTTTGTGGGTTCTAGCCCCACATCAGGCTCTGTGCTGACAGTTCGGGGCCTGGAGTGGCTTCGAATTCTGTGTCTCCCTCTGTCTCTGCCCCTCCCCTGCTCTCTCTTCCTCTCTCTCAAAAAAAAAAGTGACCCTGCGTCCTCAGGACCTCACAGCCAGCAGCAGCTCCGACACAAGCAAAGCTCTGTGTCTGTCATCTTGTTCCATCTCTGTGTCCTGGTTTGCTCAGTCGGGGCCAGGGGTGACTGGGTGGTGGCCAGTGGCGTGGCTGCTGTGCCGGCCCCTCAGCAGAGTGCTGGGGGCTTTGGGGAGGAGACCTCCAAGTATGCCTGACGCCCCGGCATTTCCTCTCTTTCTCTGGAGAGGGGGCATATTTATTCACTGATTCTTATTTTCCATCAAATAAGATGAAATGATTCAGTTCTTGGTGAAATTCATTCATATGTTCATCTGATTTTTCCACAACTTTTACTGAGCACCTAGTATTTTTCTGACGCCATGCCAGGTGCTGGGGTGCACCGGCCGGTAGAAAATGGTGTTTCTTCCCCATTTCACGAGTGTATATGCGAACGAGCGAGGCGGTGATCATGTAAGACTTAAAAACACACACAGACATTAAGCTCCAGTGACCTTCTCGGGCACTTTCCTGCATGTTGGGACAGAAAATGCTGTTAAAGGAAGAGAACAGCTCTGAGGGACTCGCCCGCGAGTTTATATTTCAGGCAATGGGACACAGAGGGACCCGGTTTCCTGCTGTCCAGCTGACCCTAGGCAGGACGCACTTGTCCCAGGCGATCCCCGGGGAAACTGCTCCTCACTTGCCAGATGGACCTGGAGGGGACAGGAGCAGCAGCTTCCAGCTCGATCCCCAGGGGGAAGGCGAGAGGCTTGAAACTGCTCTGAGGGACTCACCTGCGAGTTTATATTTCGGGCAATTTCAATGGGGCGCACGGACTGAGATCTGGAAACGAGGCCTGGCCTGGGATATAGAGCACGGCCCACCTTGGCTACACCCCCGGCAGAGAGAGATGACACCCAAAAGAGTGAGTTGCAGCGCTTGGTTTGAGAAGGGACTGGGGTGCCACCACTCTTCTCCCCACAACCACCAAGGCAGGAACTGCCGCAGGATGCACTGGACCAAACCACGCCCATCCCTGCTAGAGAGCTGCCCTCTTCCTTTTGTTTCTTTGTTTGTTTGTTTGTTTTGTTTTACCAGAGCCAGGGCAAGACCAACATGGATGCACTGCCCTGATTAATTCTGGTCACTGGCTTGCTTAAACAGTCACATTTAATCCATTCTCCAGATGTACATTCTACACCTCCACTGCTACCTTTTTATCTCTTTCTCTCTGGAGTAATCAGACTATATAGTTTCTCTGGATAGCATCATCGTCATTTCTTTCACTTCCTCTCCAACCATATTCTACTCTTTCTTCTATGAATTAAGTTTCTTAGTCTTTCTGCCTGCTCATTTCATTTCCAATTTCGCTTCCTTCCCGCCCTGTCATTTCTCTCTTTCTCTATGCTCTTCCTCCAGCACTGCATACACCCGGCTCTTTATTTGTAGCTGGGAATTCTGGTTCTATGCTTTAGACTGTCCTTTGTCTATTGGGTTTCTTCTTTTTCCTTTTCTTTTCTTGTTTTTTTTCTTTTTTATGTATTTTTATTTCTTATTATTCGCCTTCCCTCCTTCCTCTTTTCTTTTTTCTTTTTCGTTTTCCCTTTTGGGTTGCGTGTTTGTTGGATTTGTCTGTGCGTTTGTGTGCCTTTGTTCCCTGTGTGTTTGTATGGCTGTTTTCTTTTCCAGGGCTACCTCAAGAAACAAGCCAAAGTACACACGGTGGAGAGTCCCAAATACCACTATGAGTAGGAAAATAAAATAATCAAAGGCTCAACAAGAGAGACCAAAAGATACCACTCAAAGAACACTTCCTGAACGGACAAGGTCTAGACAGTCAAAGAGCCTTCTTGGGTACAGCAGCACTCACAGGTGCAGAGCACATAACAAGCTTTTAAAACTAACAAGAGATAGAAAGCTAACCAAAATGATGAAACGGAAGAACTCTCCTCCAAAGAAATTCCAGGAAGAATTGACAGCTAAAGAACTGCTCAAAACAGATATAAGCAAAATAACTGAACAAGAACTTAGGACAATAGTCATAAAATTAATCGCTGGGCTTGAAAAAGGAATGGAAGACATCAGAGAAACTATTGCTACAAAGACTATGGAGCTTAAAAATAGTTGTGATGAATTGAGAAATGCTATAAATGAGATACATAATAAAATGGAGGCGTCCAATGCATGGATTGAAGAGGCAGAAAGGAGAATAAGTGATTTAGAAGACACAATTATAGAAAGAGAGGAAGCTGAGAAAGAGAGATAAACGGATCCAGGAACACAAAAGGAGAGTTTGAGAGCTCAGCGATACAATCAAACGGAACAATATCTGTATCATAGGAATTCCAGAAGAAGAAGAGAGAGGAAAAGGTGCTAAGGAGTCCTGGAACAAATTATAGCAGAGAACGTACCCAACCTGGGGAAGGAAATAGATGTTGAAATCCAAGAGGCACGGAGAACTCCCCTCAGACGTAACTTGAATTGATCTTCTGCACAACATATCATCGTGAAACTGGCAAAATATAAGGACAAAGAGAGAATTCTGAAAGCAGCTAGGGATAAAAGGGCCCTAACATACAAAGAGAAACCCATCAGAGTGGTGGCAGACCTCTCTACTGAAACGTGGCAGGCCAGAAAGGAATGGCAGGAAATCTTCAATATGATGAACAGAAAAAATGTGCAGCCAAGAATCCTCTATCCAGCAAGCCTGTCATTCAGAATAGAAGGAGAGATAAAAGTCTTTCCAAATAAACAAAAATTGAAAGAATTTGTCACCGCTAAATCAGCCCTACAAGAAATCCTGAGGGGGACTCTCTGAGGGAAATGTTGTAAGGAACGCAAGATACCAGAGACACCACCACAAGCATAAATCCCACACAGGACACGACTCTAAACCCATATTTCTCAATAATAACACTGAATGTAAGTGGACTGAATGCCCCAATCAAAAGGCATAGGGTAGCAGAATGGATTAAAAAAACCAAAATCCATCTATTTGCTGTCTACAAGAAACTCATTTTAGACCTGAGGACAACTTCAGATTGAAAGTAAGGGGATGGAGAAATATCTATCATGCTACTGGAGAATGGCTTCAGACCTTTACATCCTGAGTCACCTCGAGGGACCAGGCACACATTGAATCAAAATCCCGACTTTCCGCTGCAGAGAAATACTGCTCTTTTCTTGCACCAGCAGAACTTACGTCTCCAGGAGTCTCAGGATTTGCCCATCCTTCCACGTGCGTGCCCGAGGGGGGTCCCAGCTCCTCCAAGCACCAGCGGGTGCCCCTGGTGCGCTTCCTTTCAAAACGGGACGTCTGGGGACCGGAGAAACCCGCGTGTCCCCTCAGCGAACAGCTTTGAAATGGCGCAGGTGGGTGTCACTGGGTTGTTACAGGAACGAGGTCCAGCCGCTTACAGCACTTTCCCAGCACGAAGTCCCATCCGCTGGAGCAGCCGCAGCAGCTGAGGACCAGAGCCGCCTCCGAGCCTCCGGCGTGCTTCCCAGCTCTTCTCTCCTTGTCCTCGGGGGACCCCTCACAGGTCAGCGCCGCGCCCCGCACAGCGGTGCTTCTGTCTGCTGGGCACCTGGCACTTGCTCTCACCACCTCCACCCTCCTGAGTGATGCGCTGAGTTTCCCCCCTCCTTTCCTCCATCCCTTCCCTTCCTCCTCCCTCCTTCCCATCCCCCTCTGTCCCTTCCCCTCCCTCCCCATCCCCTCTTCCCCCTACGCATCCATCTCTCCATCCCGCCCTCTCCGTCCTCCCTTCCCCCCCTTCCTCCCCATCCCTCCCCATCTTCCCTCCCCGCCCTCCCTGTCCCTCCTCCCTTCCCTCCCCACCCTTCCCCTTCTCCCTCCCCCCTCTCTATCCCTCCCCCCCTCTCTATCCCTCCCCCCCTCCATCCCCCTTCCTTCAACAGATACTTGTGCTGGGCTCTTGGACCCCTTCTTGGTTGCAGTGGTGAGTACGGCTGGTGCCACGGAGGAGCTCAGGGTCTCCTGAGGGAGAAAGCAGGCAGGGGTGAGGCCTAAGCATCGGGTGAGCGCCAGCCTCCAGCCCGTCCTTCCTGGAAGCACACAGGGCACCAGCCCACTTTTGGGGGTCGCAGCGCCCTCCTGGAGCCCTGAAGGCTGGTGGGAGCTCGGGGTCTGGGCAGCAGCTCCAGTACCGTCCAGACCGGGTGTGAGTGAGGGGACCCCGCTGACACAGGGCCTGGGGTGACGGAAAAATGGCTGTTTGTCCTGAGAAGTTGTGTTCTTACTCATCAGACCAAAACGCGACCGGGGCTTCCGCGCAGGCGGTGGGCGCAGGGAGCGCGTCGCAGGGGCGGGGCCGCGGCCCAGTCAGCGCACTGACCGCGGGGCACCCCGTCTCTGGCCCAGCCCTGCCGCCCACAGCCTTGAGGTGTTTGGTGGACGGAGGGGCGCCTGTTCCCGGGGCGGTGCCTGCGTCTGCCGGGCCCTCCCCGTTGCCGTCTCTCCCACCCGTGGGCCGCCTGCACCGACGCTATTCCCCGACCCCCCGCCCCCCCCCCCCCGGAGGGGCGGCAGGGCCGGCTGACACCCCGGCCTCCGTCAGCGTCGCTGCTCCGCTCTTCTCCCCACAGGGACCCAGCAGCTCTCTCCCGGGGCGAAGTTCGTCCTGATAAGATACACCGTCAAGGAGGTATTTTAGGCCCGAGCCTTAGCCGCCCTCCTCACCCTTCTTGGAGCCGTCGGACCGGGAAGACAGTAGACGAGCTCAGCGTCGCGACCTGCGTCATTCGGCGTCTCCGCTGTGAGCTCAGCGTCGCGACCTGCGTCATTCGGCGTCGGTTAGCAGTAAGGCCACCGCTTCCAGAGGCGGGCGGGGTTGCAGGACGAACGTCAGTCCTCCTCATCGAGCGGAGTCAGGGCTCCGACGTGTGACGTGCCTCTCACACCGACGTGAGGAGAAACATTATGGAATTGGGACATGGACGTTATTTGCTTCCTAAAAGGCTACTTTGCTTTCCTAATTGATGTATCGTGGAATTACTTTAATGAGTAAAACCCTATGAGTGCTCGTAAAATACTAATCCATACTTTCAGACCGAGGTTGTGCCTTGCTGATGTTTCCTGTACGCCTGCTTCCAAATTCCTACCTCACATCAGGGAAACGGAAAAGAAAACACAAAAACTAAAAACTGTACCATAAAACAAAAGAAACATCCAAACTCTATGGTTCCTGAAACAGTTTCCTAATGGGGTGGATGAGTTTGAATTACAGTTTTTAAAGCTCTTAAAGTCTTCCTTCTATTTAGCCGCTGCACCCGCCCGGCTGCCCTCCCCCGCTCCCCCCCGTGGGCCCCCCTTGCCAGCAGCAGGGTGCCTGTCTGCGTGTCCCCACCCCCACCAGGAGCCACGCTGTCCACTGGGCAAGAGACCAGGCCCGGGGCTCCGCGAGGTCCCTGAACTGCTGGGCTCCTGCATTGCAGGGCAGGATTTATCTGAGCTCCCCTATATTTGAAGCGGGTTTTATTTTTTCTGGTTTAAGTTTGAAAATTGGACATAGAAAATGGTAAAGACCTTGCTGGAGTCTGGCAGAAAGAAACTCAAAGTCTGCTGGACTCTGGAAACTGGACAATTTCTCCAGCTGTCAAGGCACCACAGAGATCTTTCTGGTGCCAAATTGAACAGAAAGTAGACATTCATACCCTCTGTTGGTATAGACTTGAGTTTTCCAGAGTTTGTCTCATTTGTGTTAGAAATGATTTTCTATGGTATATTCAATTATTTTACCTTAAATTACACATCATAAAGTACAACATGGCCAGTCCTCTGTCTTTTCGCTTGCACGATCTGGTGCTTTTTAAAAATGTTCATCCTGGGGAGCCAGGGTGGTTCAGTCGGTTAAGCGCCAACTTTGGCTCAGGTCATAATCTCATGGTTTGTGGGTTTGAGCCCCGCGTTGGGCTCTGTGCTGACAGCTCAGAGCCTGGAGCCTGTTTCAGATTCTGTGTCTCCCTCTCTCTCTGACCCTCCCCTGCTCATGCTGTCTCTCTCTCTCTCTCTCACACACACACACACACAAATAAATTTTAAAAAATGAAAAAAAAATTTAATGTTCATCTTTATGAGTGACTGTTTTAGTTGTAGCTCCTGGAAACAGCATTAGTTGAGCATTGCCTTGACAATTTTAGATTCATGTTTCAACAATCGCATTATCTACAAAAGCGATTTCTTGTGTGATATGCTGCTTAAGTGGTTATTTAGAATATCTGCTACAAGGGCTGACGCCAAGTCAGCTAAATCAGAACCAGTCCAGGAAGGTAGGTGTTGATGTTCTAGTTTACAAATTAGGGAGTAAGACTGAAATCCTAAGTGCTTCACCTGAGCACATGCTCTCTGACGCTCTCTTATAATTCTTCAAATATCAGGCGGGTCCTGGTTAGACGTCCTCACTGCCTTGTGTGACTCTTGAAGTAAGATTTCAGGAGGCTTTGTGGGTTGACTTGATCTCAGTTTGGTGCCTATTAGAGAATGTCTCTCTATGACTGTTGCAATCGAATAAGAGTTTCTTGTCCCCTGGCCCCGTCAGCCCCACGAGGCAAGGGCTCTCTGTCTCACTTGGGGCTGTGTGCCTGGACCACAGTAGGGATCATTACGTATTTTTTGCATGAATGAATACATGAAGGGAGGATTTTTATTTAAACAACTTTTCTTCAAACTGTGAATGTTGCCCCACTGTTTTCTGTCACCTGACGTTGCTTAGAAACGGAAACCCAGGGAAAGACCCCAAGACGTGGCCGAATCCTGGAGATGCCAGGGAAGAGCACGCTCAGTAAATGCTGGTTGTCTTCATGTCACTTGTTAGCAGAAGCGGAGTCTCCATGAAGCTGACGGTGGAGGCTCTTTGCAGACCTGCCAGGTCCCCGGGGACATGTTCACGCGGCCAGGTGTTGTGAGATTGTCACAGGCATTTATGACTGCCTCCTTCCCGTTCCTGCTTCCCGCCGTGGGAGGGCGCTAGGACCGAGGCAGGGCTCTCCATGCGGGCTGAGGGGGAGTGAAATCGGGGTGCGCTTGGCTAGCGTTGGTAGGACATAGGGGGCACTGTCACCCCAACACTGGGGTGGCTCCTGGAAACATTCCAGTCACGCACTCTGCCGCCCAACTGAGTGTTGTGACATGAACACTTGTGGAGAAAAATAATGCAGTGAGGGTCACAGAGAGGGTGGTGTGCTGTGCAGCTAAGGGATTAAAACATCGTGCTGTTCTAGTTCAGAGCCTGGAGTCTGTTTCGGACTCTGTGTCTCCCTCTCACTCTGACCCTCCCCTGTTCACGCTGTCTCTCTCTCTCAGAAATAAGTAAAACATTTTAAAAAATAAAAAAAAAATCATGCTGTTTCTTGGGCTGTGTGATGCCTGCAGCAATTGTCATCTTAAACAGTTTTAATTTATGTTATTCTTTTATTTTAAATAAATATTCTCATGTGCTCACAGTTTTATGTGCACAATTGTGTTAAGGAGAAAATTAAACAACATTCAAACCTCATAAAACCTGAAGTCCCATGCCTATTAAAGTCATAAAAATTAAGAGGACTTTTAACAACTAGATTTTTATGCACCAAGTAACAAGAAATAAAGTTTTATGGAACAAAAATTTTGTAGAGGTTACAAGAATAGATTGCCAAAAAACACATTAGTTGTTGTAAGAAATAATATTTGTCTCTCTTGCCCAGCATTCCATGGATCAAGAAGATTAAAGATATCGAAGATGATCTTATGAAAGATGCATTTATGAAAAATGTGTGTGCATGTGTGTGTGTGTGTATAAAAAATCCAAGGGGGAAAACCAGAAATGAACAACAAAATGCTAGACTGATTTAAATTTTATCAATAATTACATTAAAAGTTAATGGTCTACACTCTCCAAACAAAAGGCAGAGACTGTCAGGTGGGTGAAGAGTGAGTATAAGCTATATGCTGCCTACAAGAGACAAACTTTACATAAGGAGATGTAGATGGGTTGAACATCAAGTGTTGGACAAGCCCATCCATGCAGATGCTGAGAAAGTCATTAAGTCGGAGAAAAGAACCTTCCACGTGGTGAGCAGCACTGGGGTTAAAGGGCGACTCACCTTGGTAAATGCTCTCTTCATTAGGGAGTCAACACAGTTACAAGGTGCAGGTGCCTGATGAGAGACCCCCCAACCCAATACGTGAAGCCAAACTGACCAAGTTAAAAGTAGGAGGAGATCACTTCACAACTGGAATCAGATTTTAATACTCCTCTCTCGGCAACTAATGGAACAACTGGACAAATAAAATCTAAAAAAAAAACACCCAACCCTCATTAGTCCGGACAGAGCCTGACCCACAACCCAGCATTGCTCTGAAGGAATTCCTGGGGTGAGATGGTCTGAAGGCGGGCTCCTGTCGTGAAGACCTGGCTTTGACTGCAGGCCTTCCTGGGGGCAGCTCCCCTCTTGTGCTCACAGTGCATGGAGGAGCCCACTGTGTCCTTGGGGCGTGTCAGGCTCCCAGGGCGCCCCAGCCTCTGCCCTTCCACGGGCGCCTTAGGCTGGGCCACTGGGGCTCCTTACTTACTGGCCAGCTGTTGGCCATTAACAAGATGGTTTTCAAATTGCATTTGGCACTTGGTTTACAGCAAGAGAGCAATACTGGGAATGCAGTTTGTCCTGAGGGCAGAGACGGAAGGTATTTTCTGGAAAACGTGGTGATATTGGCTAATACTTGTACACTATGGACCGTGACTCTGCCGTTTCCAGCAATAGAGAGAGAAAGGCCATGTGACCAGCAAACGGAGGGGTTAAAGGGGCTGCGCTGCTGAGTGTGGCTTGCAGCTAAGGCCGGCGGGAGGGACGGCGAGCCAGCACCATCGGGGTGACCGGCAGCTTCCGAGAAGGAGCTCTGGGTGTCCTTGTTTGTTTCCAGCAACTATTTGAAGTGCTTGCCATTTGTAGGAGTCACCCCGTCTCCCAGGGACCACAGGCCAAGCACATTCCTCCCGAGCCGCCAGCCGCCTCCTGGCTCGCCGCCGCACAAAAGCGCAGCCTTTCCTTTCATTGCTTCATAGAGTTTAAACCTGATGGACCAAGGGGGCCAGGCCTGACTCGGTGCTGGACCCCAGGTCGGAGTCAGAGAGGCTCAGCCCCCAGCTGGCAGCCCTCCTTTCTGCGGTTCTCCATTAGCTCCTGGGAACCGACTTCCAGTTATTTCTTCTGCGCCGTGACTGTGAATTTAAAGAGCAAATATCACCCCTGAGATTCACCGGTGTTATTTTAATTAAATACACTTCCCCTGTGGCTTTGTGAGCTGTTGGGTCTGTCTCAGACGCAGTTGTGAAGCCCTCGGTGGGCGCGCATCGCGGACACCACACCCCTCCTGCTGTCCTCACCCCCCTCTGGACGTGGCAGAGTGAACACTGGCGTCCGCGTCAGAATCAGAGACTTGGCTGCGGCTCTTCTCTCGCTGCTACTGCAAAGGCACTAATAACAACCAGCTGAGTGAGTCGCGGAGTCCAGTCTGGAAAGAGCCTCCCTGGATGAGGTCCCGCTGCGGCGGCAGAGGCCTGTGCTACGTGGGCCCCACGTGGTGGGGGCCCTGGGGTCGGAGGAACGTTCTGCTCTGCCCTGCACAGGTGACCAGGCCTCTGCTGGGTTGCTGGGGTGCGTCTGAAATAAATGAAGAGATTTTAAAAAGGCAAGTCGAGGGCACGGTTCGCACGACTGCCGTCTCAGAGGAAAAGGAACAAAAGAATCAAGGCAAAGTTGAATGCTTTAAAGCCAATGTATTTCTTAATATGAATATGAGTGGAAAACACAACAAGTCAGCCAACATCTCCCTGAGCTGCCATCATCCCTCACCTCAGGAAGAGATTCCACCCCAAAAATAACAAGAAAAAAAATCAAAATAAATATGAACCCAAACTGACCTTCGCCCACAAGTGAGTGTTTTAGCGAGTGGCCCAATTTGGATAAAGCAGGAGTTGGCCGCCGGTGACGGGCAGGGCCCCCGGCCGTGGGGACTCGGGGGAGGGGTGTCCACTTCT